ATGCTGTTTGCTATAACTGTATATCACAGGATGAATTACGGGTTCTGCTTGTTTGTTGTGTCTTGTTCATTCTCCATCACTTACTGTATCAACAAAATGTTTACTTCTCTTTGTAGCTCTGTTTTACAGATTCTTTTTGTAACCATCTCCATCTGTTTGCTACTCAGGCTTCTTATATTGTGGTCTTCAGGAGTCACCATATGCCATTTAATAATGTGTGTAATATATTTATGACATCAAAAGGACAGAAATGAATAAAATTGTCATTTAGGAAAAAAAATAATTTTGTGCATTTTTTGTCATGATGTTACCACAAATATATATATATATATATATATATTTTTTTTTTTTAAATCTGTAGATAGATTTTAAAATATAAATAACACATATAATATCAATTATTATCATTAATAATAATAATGATATAGAAATTACTTCCAGACTGTCATATCTTATTTGTCCACTAGATGCCATTAGTGTGTTTTATCTCCATCCTGATGAACACATTCTCATGTTCTCATGTCCCCACCCATTGTTGTTTTCTGTTATGTAGAAGAACGTTCTGGATAATGAATGGAAAATTAAAGTAAATACTTCATGTCCACACACAAATCAGAGAAAATATCCACTCCACTTTGGAATACTCTCATGATGGTCACTTTCAATCAATCTGTTTATTTATAAACACATTTAACAACAACACAGGTCAACCAAGCTGCTGTACTTAGTAAAAAGGAAAACAAATACACACAAAAAGAACAAAACAAGACACAGTCACAATTAAAAGCTAGGGAGTAAAGATGTGTTTCTAGATGAGATTTACAAATGTCGAGTTTTGGAGAGGTCCTAATTTGAAGAAGCAGTCTATTCAAGTTTAGGCGCAGCAATCACAAAGTCCTCGTCTCCTCTGGGTTTTAGTTTGCTGCTAGGAACAATCAGAAACAACTTATCAGCTGACCTAAGAGTTCTATTTGGAGTATTTTTAGTTACAAGATCAGAGAGGTATAGGGGAGCTAATCAATTTACAGACTTAAAAACAAGCAATAAAATCTTAAAATCAATTCTATAACGTACTGGAAGCCAGTGTGAACGAGCCAAGACTGGGGAAATATGGTCTCATTCACGAGTGCCTGTCTAACCCTAACCTCATTCTGAACAAGCTGAAGAAGAGAGCAGAGCCTGGCTGATACCAAAATAAAGATTATTACACTAATCAAGCCAGGATGAAATTAATAGATAAATCACTTTCTTGAAGTCAGCAAATGACAACATGTTCTTAATTTTTGCAAGGGCCCTCAGCTGGAAGAAGCTGGCTTTTACAACAGGATTTATTTGTTTGTTTGTCAAATGAAAAATTGCCATCAAAGAACACTCACAGATTTTTTTTTGCAATGGGAGTTCTGGACTTTTCCAGAGAGCCCTACTTCAGCCAAAGTGCACAGTGAAACAGGCTCAAAGTGATCAAAAACAGCTGAGGAAAACGCGGGAACAGAAGGATCATAAGCTTCAGCCCCTGGTGAGCTCATCACTGGACCCACTTCAGTTTGCCTACCAACCCGGCATTGGAGAGGATGATGCTTCCTCCCGAAGTTCTCTGATGACTCTGCAATAGTCGGCCTCATTAGGGCTGGGTATCGTCACTGATTTCTAGAATCGATTCGATTCCGATTCACAAGGTCCCGAATTGATTCAATCCACGATTCGATTCAATTCAATTCAATTTGATTCGATTCGATTTGAATCTGGGAAATTTTGCCTCAGACAGTCAGAAATATTAGAATTCAAATCAGTACATTAACATATTTTTGTATCTATAAAAAGGAAGCTGACACTCGCAAGACTTTATCAAAGGTGTGAGCATCACAGCAGATGCCTTTGTGTCAAAGTAGCTGAAGATAAAACAGAAAAACATGAAGGTGGTTTTCCTGGCCTGGGATTTATAAAAATATTCTGCAGTACATCAAAAACGAAAGAAAACCATTAATCAACATATGAACATTACCTCTGAAGTTACAGCGGTTTTATTAGAGACACGCTAAGCGTTTTGCATTTTGCACAAGTTTAAAAAGTTTAAATTTGTTCAGTATTGAACAGCAGAAATTAGGTTTTCTTTTCGGAAGTAAGTAAAAGGGAAAAAAACAGCGGCCGACAGCGCTGTAAATAACATAGACTTGTGCGTAACAAGCAAGCGAATATTGCAGAAAACAGATTTTTAGACGGGAAACTGTTCTTGAAGTACATAGAGAGAGAGAGAGAGAGAGAGAGAGAGAGAGAGAGAGAGCTGTGCATGAAGTGTGATTTTATCATGGTGGAAGCAAAACGGCAAAAGTAAGAGGGAATTCATGACGATGTTTATGTGAAGCTTAGTTTGGATCTTCTTTTGCTGCTGGTTCAGTCAGTATTGTTTGGGGAGAGATCAAACTAACAGCTCTAGAATCAGCGCAAAAAGGGCGTAAACACAAAGTGCGGACTCGCCGAAACATCAGAATCAGCGAGCTGTCGGCTTTCAGCCCCGACCGTGTCCGTGCCGTCGGGTGAGAAAGGCGACATCTCACTGATTCTGATCAGTCGGCGGGTCCGCGCTTTGTGTTTACGTCTTTGTGCAGAATCCGTGTACCTGCTCTCATTTACTGTTTTAGCTGTTTGGTGGTTGTCGAAACTGAGATTCTGGCATTTCGGGCAAAATAAATTTATATTAAAAAATCGATTCAGAATTTTAATGAATCGATATCACGTTATCCAAGCCAGAATCGATTTTAATCGATGAATCGATTATCAAAACCCACCCCTAGGCCTCATCACTGATATGGACGACAGGGAGTACAGAGAACTGACGCAAGACTTTGTGGACTGGTGCCAGTAGGATTACCTCCAGATCAACACTGGAAAAACAAAGGAGCTGGTGGTAGACTTCCGCAGGCACAAACATCCTCCACTGCAAGCACTAAACATCCAAGGTATAGACATTGAGGCTGCGGACAGCTACAGGTACCTTGGTGTTTATCTGAACAATAAACTGGACTGGACTCAGCCCTTTCCTGTACCTGCTGCAGAGACTCAGGTCTTTTGGAGTGAAGGACCCACTCCTGAAGACCTTCTATGACTCTGTGGTGGCCTCAGCCATGTTTTAACGTGTGGTCTGCTGGGGTGGCAGCAACTTGGCTGGGGGACAGGAAGAGACTGAACAGGCTGATCCGGAGGGCCAGCTCTGTTCTAGGATGCCCTCTGGATACAGTGGAGGTGGTGAGTGACAGGAGAATGGTGGCTAAGCTGTCATCTCTGTTGGACAACATCTCCCACCTCATGCAGGAGACTCTGACAGCACTGAGCAGCACCTTCAGTGGCAGGCTGCGGCACAGAGACTCTGCAGGTATTTCCTTCCTACTGCTGCCAGTACAAAGACTTTGCAGATGACCAAACACACACATCTACACATGGAAGCGTATCTGTAACCGGAAGGTCGCCGGTTCGATCCCCGGGTTCTCTGTCCTGGTCGTTGTGTCCTTGGGCGAAACACTTTACCCTACTGCCTACTGGTGTTGGCCAGAGGGGCCGATGGCGCGATATGGCAGCCTCGCTTCTTTCAGTCTGCCCCAGGGCAGCTGTGGCTTCAACCGTAGTTTACCTCCACCAGTGTGTGAGTGAATAGTGGCATTATAAAGCGCTTTGGGTGCCTTGAAAAGCGCTATATAAATCCAATCCATTATTATTATTATTATGTGCAATAACACTAAGTGCATTTTTTTTTCAAACAACGTAGCATTTTATTCTGTTGCATATAGCATGTGTCAGTGGGCTGGCCTTGATTTCTTGTTGACTGTCTCTTTCAGATATGTGGTTGGTGGAGCTGACCCAATTATAGATACAGCACACCTGAGAAGGCCAGTCCCAGTTATAAAGCTACCTTGACTGAACCTCTGTCTCTCTGTCTCTCTTCATCTGGGGCTCATTATGCTCATTTGGTTATGTTCAGTTATGACGGTTGTATAATTTCACCTGTGTTTGAGTTTCTTTACTTTATTTCATTAAAATATCTGACAGACTGTGTCACATCCTTTGAGCCGGGTTGTGACATATGGTATTCTTTTTTCTCTTGTTTTATTCCAGTGTTTTTCTTAATTGTTGCTACTGTAACTCTGCACTGTCCACTTTCTGCTGTGACACAACACATTTCTCACATGTGGAACTAATAAAGGCTTATCTTATCTTTAACAAGAAACTGTAAAAAGGTTTCACAGGTGGCTGGAGACACTGGTAAGTGTGGGGTAGGTGAAGGATTGATAACAGAATTAATGGTGTTTAATAAGACACAGGACCTATAACAGTTACTTCTTAAATCCAGTTTCACAGACAGAGTTACACCCTTGCCAGTTTTTGAGAGGAGGGCTTAATGGTGTAAATTAGCCGAACAAAACAACAAACAACACAGAACTGAGCTCCAAGGAACACAAATAACCTCATAAAACAATAAATCTAAAACTGAGTCTGACCTTCCTAGATTACCCAAAGAGTGAGAATAAGATAATATGTGATATATTTTATGTAGACCAGATTTGCTGAATTCTGTAGTGTTGCAAAAAGCAGATTAACCTTATAGTGATTAAAAGTTCCTAAACACCACTTAAAGCCCTGTCATAGCTTTTGTGCTCTGCAGGTTATTTCTGCCATTCAAATAAACGTTACTTTTACAGCCTACCTAACAATGTTCAAGGTCTTGAACTGTCCACCAATCAAGCCTCTGTGTCAGGAAGTAGAAAAACAATTTCCCCATTGTGCTTTACAGAGTCCAACTGGTACAAACAGATAAGAGATATAAAGATGCAGACAAGAGAACAGTTTATTATTAAACAACATCAAAACAGCCAGTTTGATCATAATCATCAGAGAGTCTGGAGAGTGAGTGGTGCTGAAGCAACTTGGAAAATGAATTTTAACATTTTACGATCTATTTTCTTGTTTTGTGGCTTGACTTTGGCCCACAGTGGTGCTAATACCACTGAAACAAATCCATACCATCCTGACATGTGTAACCTCCTGAAAGACTTTGGGGCCATGACAGAAAAAGTGAAATCTATGGAAACAAGACTGAAGGAAACTGAAATCTGCCTAAAGGAGGCTGTAACCAAGCTGAAAGACAGCGAAAACCAAATTTTGGAGCTGCAAAGCAAAGGTAAAACAAAATGAAGTGAGATTTCATTGATTAAACTGTTAAGCATTTTTTTCATTGTGGCTGAATACTCACAATTAATTTGACTCAACTTTAACAATCTTCAAAAATATTAGTATAGGAAGGAAGATGGAAGGTGTTGTTGGTCTTATTTGATGTTTTCAAACCTGACAATAGAGCATCAACTCCCTGAAATTCAGTGCTGTAAAAAAAATAAAATAAAAGAATCTTGAGCCACGCCTTGTTTCTATTTTTACAAAAATTGGAAAAAGCTGGAATGATTTATTAAAATGTATAAACATTGTGTATCGGGAAATCGTGTACTGAGTAAAAAACAAAGAGTTTATGCCTCTCTAACAACGTGGAAATTTGGTAGGACCACCCTACATTGTCATATTAGAATGCAAAATTAATTACACTGTTTGTCTAATTAAAGATGAAAAGCTTAAAACAATGATATTTTGAAGACCGGATAATGTCCATGTTATCTGAAAGCTCATTAATAATACCATAGTAATTATCCAAATTAAAAGCTAAATGTCACATTTATCTGCTGATACAAAGAAATCTGATACACCTGATCGTCTGTGTGTCCTTACAGATAAGTCACAATATCAGTCAGTGTGGAACCTACATTTACAACAATTTTATGCTTATGATTTGATTTTCACAGAAAGAACCAAAATAATATTCAGTGCAACAGCAGGAAGAGGCAATGCACACATCGGACCCTTCAACACAGACATAATTATAGACTATAAGAAAGTAATTACAAACTTTGGCAGTGCCTACAGTCCAGTCACAGGTAAGATTTATAGCCTCCTGTATGCTCATTTGTTTTATTTCACAAAGTAAAAGAGATATAAGTGCAAGACAAAAACATGTTTGCAATTCAGTTTTGGAAAATTATATTTATTGTTATTGTAAAATTAAATGTACTAAACTTAATTATTAAAAATTTCAACAGCAATTTACAAATCTGACATTTATATGTAGTTAAAGGATGAGACGTAATGATCAAATCTCCCTTACTTTTTCCTTTTCTTTTTGATGTGACCAACACTCTTTTATTCTTCAGGTGTCTTTACAGCACCTCTTGCAGGTGTTTATTACTTTACCATCTTCTATCACGGTGGAAGAAGCTACCCACATTATCTGCGTATTTTCAAGAATAATGAGTTGACGGTCTTTACAGCTGATCATAAGACAGAAAGCGACGGAGCTGATAATGGAGGAAACGCTGTGTTCCTGCAGCTGCAGCAAAGAGACCAAGTGTATGTGAGCATGGCTGCAAACACATATGTTGGGGGAGATGACCACACAACTTTTAGTGGCTTTTTGGTCACGGAAACGTAAGAAAAAGTAAATGTATGTCTGCTTAGGATGACAGGCCAGAGCTTCTTTTAAATATGATGCTTCACACAAATCAAACCAATTTCTGTAACATTCAAATGTGCTTAAGAATTTTGTGCTTTAATTTTATTATCACTCTTGAATTTGATATAATTTTAAAATGTATGTTCATGTTAATTTAATTGATTTGAGTTTCATTGCATTGCCTATTATTAACTGCATTTTGATAGCGTTTAAAAAAATCTTTAGTAAGATAGTTTGAATGAGCTCTGTATCCAAGTTTATTGCCTTATAAACAACGTTGTTTTGCTTTTTTTCTGCTTGATCGTGAATATCAAAATGTGAACTCAATGAATAAAATTGAAGTAAATAATTTACGTACCATAATGTATGACTTTTGAAGCATACAGGGATCACCTCCATTCCTACTTCACAATTATGTGTTGACAATGTATACTAAATAATTGTTTGGGTGCAAATAAATATGACTAACTTATAAGCATTTTTAGGAGTGAGGAGGATAAACTGGGGCATTTAAACTGCATTCGTCAACAAACTGATACCTGAAAAACTGCCACATTTCTCAAAAGGAGCCATGTATTTACACCTATGTGGAGGTCCCTCTGTTTCGAGCCTGTCAACATTATATAACTTTGAATTATGAGCACAGAATGAATTAGTGAACATAGAAGAGAAATACAAGAAAAACAGAGGATCTTTATATTCATGTTATGACCTGTCTAGGGGCCAGGGCATAAAATGAAAAGGAGATGGAAAGTTCCAGCCTTGTCATAGCTTTCCTGCTTTGCAGGGTATTTATGCCATTCAAATAAACGTTACTTTTACAGCCTACCTAACAATGTTCAAGATCTTGAGCTGTCCACCAATGAAGCCTCTTTTTGAGGAAATAGCAAAACAGAGTCTCACTTCACCTCTTTTCTGCTAATTGTGCCTTCATGTGCCAGAGCTGTTTCAATGATATGATGGCACAGTTTTTTTTTAATAGTGTCTGAGCTTATACACTGACAGCAACACTGGAATTCTTTTGCTAGCAAATGTATTACTGTTTCCTCATTGCTCTCATGCTGAGTTCAACTGGTACAGATAGATACAGATAGATAAGCGATACAGAGATGCAGACAAGAGAACAGTTTATTATTAAACAGCATCAAAGCAGCCAGTTTGATCATATTAATGAGAGGTCTGGAGAGTGAGGGGTGCTGAAACAGCTTAGAAAATGAATTTTAACAATTTATGGCCCACAGTGGTGATAAGTTACTGAAACAAATTAATATTATCCTGACATGTGTAACCTCCTGAAAGATTTTAGGGCCATGACAGAAAAAATAAAATCTATGGAAACAGATTGAAGGAAACTTTTTTTCGTTGTGGCTAAATATTTCATAAGGCAAAACAACAAACAAAGCAAAAAATGAAGACATACCACAAATATAAGGAACAGAAAGCAGAAACAAATCAAATGTCTGACCCACAACACTATCGCAAGCAGATGCTTTCTGGACAGACAGCATCTGGAATTGTGCATGACGTATTATGGATTAAGATATGATAGTACTTTTCTGCCTTCATTGTTCCACTATTTTTGACAGAATTGTCAACATGATGTAGACTAACTCATTGTTGGGGTACAAGTGAATATAGAAGTAAACAGGTTTATTGGTCACTCCAACCCCCCCCCCCCCAAAAGAAAAACAAAAAACAAAACAAAGAAACAATAGACTAAATTCTACCTTAAGTGTCCAGACTTGCTAGTACAAAGTTAAACCCCCTTTTGCCTTCAAAAATGCCTTCATTTTTCATGGCATAGATTCAACAATGTCCAACAATTCAAAGAACGATTCAGTCATGTGTCCAAGTATAAAAGATGCCTGGGATCACTTATACAGGTGTTAGACAAGAAGATGGCGCAACAAGAACACAGCAATAGGAAAGCTCAGATTAGATGAATGTAAATAAATGAAACCGTAATTTAGGGATCTTTTGGAAACTTGTCAGGATGTTGGTACAAATAAAACAATAAAACATCTTTGACGCTGTAGTTTTTCCAGACCTTTTTTCCTCATTTGTCCACTAAATGTTACCAGTGTGTTTGACTTTTTTCCTGCTGCACACTTTTTCCATTTACTGTCACTTTGTGCTATATGGAAGAGAGTTCTGGATAATGAATGGGATGTTCATGTTACTTTCATTATATGAAGTCAGATTAAGTATCCACTCTAATTACCCACCCTGACCCCACTCACACTTTTACTGTACTGACAGCAACACTGTCGCTGCATGGACCCCACGAGTTTGTGCAGACCTGATACTGTGAGTCATGTATGTGAGAGTGGTGAAGTAATATTTGATTGTTATTATAAGTAGGCCTTTAGATGGTCCAAAGATTGGCACCAATATTCATTTTGATCAAATACTATTTTTTTTGCAGAAGCACACTAAATGTAATGTTGTGCTATATCATGTTTTTCACTTTTTGCTTACACTAAACGTTTGTTATTGTTGTGTTCTAAAAGAAAAGAAAAAAAAATTGTCTAAATAACAATACAAGATCACTTTGAACCAGAAAAATATTTATTTTAGAAGGATGAACATGAACATTTATGTTGCTGGGAATCGGGGAAAGTTGTGATTTCCGCTGCCGGTGTCCGGCGGCCGTTGCCAGTAGCTCCACCGGCTGCTGCCAGCGGCTCCAGCGGTGGGATAGTGTTTGGGTCCCAGTGTCAGTGTTCCCAACACAACGCATCCAATACCATGTGAAAACAAATATATAATTCTTTGTTGTAGCCTTCACACTGAATGTAACAACACTAATTTTTCACTCTTTCTGTTTCTCACGAAACAAAGACACCACACCTCGTGAATAATCCCAACCCAGTGGAAACATGTTCTGTCTAATTTGGCATGACAGGTCACATAGCACATGTGAATAATAAGATTCAAGATTCATTTTTTTTGTTTTTTTTGTCACATGCATAGTTGTACAAGTACAACACACAGTGAAATGTATCAAAAAAGTTCCGAACGCCGGCACGTTTCCCCCGGCGCTTCTTTGTTTTGCGCCTCTGGGCCTTAAGATTGTAAGGCCCGGACTGTCACCCTCACTTAGAGAATTGCATTAACCCTAGTTAAAATAATTGTGCAATATGTCAGGTTGGGTCTCAGGCCCTCCAAAGTACGGAGGCCTATCTCCCCTCACTACACTCCCTGCTGGTGGCTGATGCCCTCAGACGTTGGTGTGTTGGTGGTCCTTGTCGACTGGGGCTGGGCGCTCATGTATGTACCGGCTCACTCCTGGTGGCCGATTGGCGAGGCCGGGCGCCTATGGCCCAGCTGGGCCCCTTCCGGGGGTTGGGGTGCCCTCAGGCCTCTGGTCTCAGGGCCTGAAGCTCGGTCCTCTCTGGCACAGCCCACGGGCACGCCACTGCAACCCCCTCTGGTCTCTGCTCTGTAGCTGCTGGGTGACCTCTCGTTTGGGGCTCTACTCAGCTCTTCCCAGGAGGGTGGCACGGTTCACCCCCTTTTGGTGGTCCTCCTCGGGTCCTCGTACTCTGGGGCCTCAGGATGTCTGGGGCCTGGATCTCCTCCATACCTGCTTCATGCCCTGGGGGACAGGGCTATGGCTCCCCACACTCCCTAGCAGATCGTTACATGGAGAAACCTTTGGAATACAAGCATGCTGATCCACACAGGTATGCACACAGGTGTACACACGGGTGTTCACAGACGTGGACTACACCTTTCTTGGCTGCTGCCTCAAAGCACATTGTGCGCTGTCTATCTTGCGTGCTGCACAATATCGTTTAATATTTAGTATCTACTGTTATCTACTGCTAGCTAGTTTATTGTGATGGTGCTGTTTTTTATTATGTTGCTCTTTTTTTGTTTGCTTTCTCTTCTGTTTTTTTTTCTCCATACAGGTGATCCAGGTGTTTTGTTTGTTTTTCTTTCTTTCTTCCCCCCCTTCTCACCGTCTCTTCTCCCCTTTGGTTTTCTTTCTCTCCCTCTCTTTCTTTCATTCTTTCTCCCTGTCCTATCCCCCAGTCATGTCTGTCCCGTTTGTAGCAACCGAAAATAAAATAAATACATAATTATAATAAAGGTCAATCAAATGGACCAATATGGCAAGGACATGATGATCCACTTGGTAAAATAAATCCGCTTGGCATCTTTCTTGGCCTTAAGACAACAATTCTGATGGCTAAAGATCCAAACGGGACAAAAACAACAACAACAAATAATAATAATAATAATTGTGCAATGAAAAATAGCGTTTATAATGGTTTTCAATGGGGCAGAAATCGACCATGAGGTTCGACAAAGGATGTATGTCTGTATCTCAGCCGTTTAAGCTCATTTAAGGAACTTTGGCTATATTCCATTCAACACAGTGAAAATAGTGTGAAATTAAAAAACGCAAAGGCCACAAAATGGTCCCAGGTTCACCCAATACAATAAAACCTACTCAGCTAACCTCCCCAGAACAAGCAAGAGGGAATGGACAGTGCTCGGCTTTACACACACAGTTTAACACAAAGTGGGCCGAAATGGCGGACTGTGCTCTCAGTCTAAAGCAGCCACGCCGAATCACAGATCATCAGTCTTTTATAGACGCAGGTGAGCTCAATCAGCCACTCATTGCTTCCTGGTTTTCCACAGGGCTCAAGCTGGCCAATCACCTACGAGGGCTGACACACTTGGATTTGCCTGGAGGAAAACATGTTGCCTCATATGTTCCAAAACCCTAAGCAGTAACAATGAAGTCAAAGATAAATAATACAAAACGGGAAAACACTAAGGACCATAACAAATTAAAATGCACTGAAATATTAAAAATGTTAAAATCCATTAAGATGTAAAATGAGAATAATTAACGTGTTTAGAAAATTCTTGAAATTGCTTTTAAAAGGAGCACAATGTGTTTAATAAGTTTAAGAGATATAGTAATTATATATGATTAATTTTTACAAGATTCCTGTTTTATT